GCTATACCCAGAATTTAATCATTATGACGCACTCGATAGAAACTTCCATAGTTCTACAGCCAATAATCGTCATACAGAATATCAGTCGTACACATCAATTCCATTTTAGACGAACATTAATTTGGTATATAATAAATTTTTATATCATTTGCAGTTTAAGCTCTAACCCCCCTGGAAAAATATTATTTCCAACCGTGTAGTAAATACCGTAAAAGGCTTTTCCCCTATGACTCTTGAAGACCCGGTTTTCTGGAAAGCCAGTATTTCAGAAACTCTAAAAAATAGCCAAAACCTTTTCTTAATGAGGCAAAATTGTAGCCCGCACATTTCTGATTAAAATGAGACGTCTCCCAGTGACCTTTCTTTGCAAAGTTATAGAATTTACAATAAAAAGCCTTAAATTAATTTCTTTGTATTTCTGTAGCTTTGAGCTAACAATGAATATTTAGCGCTTCTCTTGTAAATTCTATAACTTTGCAAAGAAAGGTCATTTACAGCTGGGAGACGTCTCATTTTAAGCAAAAATGTACCGGCTACAATTATGCCTCATTAAGAAAAGGTTTTGGCTATTTTTTATTGAAATTCGAAGGTGATGCAGTTCAGCCCAAAAAGTGCAAAAAACGCGTAAGTCCGTTACGTTTTTGCCTTGAAGATTTCTCGATGACCAAGCGGTAGTTTTTCCTCCGGTTTTCACTATAGGGAAGTTCGAAGTCCGAGCTACAAAATCGGCTATTATAATCCCATCGTGAGTGTAGACAATCGCTGAACTTATCACTTTTCTCGGATACTTCAAAGTTCACTTCTGTTTTTTATAAGTCCGTTACGCTAGGCATTTCGTCTCGCCTGGCGTAGCGTTCCAACGAAATCTATTCTTTTTTTCCACTTTGGTACAACTAAGTGTCTTTTACAATTCTGTAGTAGAAGCAAGCTCTCAAGTTCTTTTACCTTTGAAGAAAACGTCACGGACAGAAAAAGGTACGTTACATTTGGAATGGCCGTTCACGTAATTCTATCCTGTTTTGGGTTCTATTTCAGTTAATAAAAGTTTGCATTATTGATTATCCTAAATTAGTATACAATATTCGTATTATTATTCATAATTATTATTTGGCGTTCATTTTTCAAAAGCGACTGTTGCTAAATTTGGAGGAAGAGAAGATGAAAGAGAAAATAACATTTCAAGATATTAAACAAGAATTAATAATTGCTTTGAAACTATTAAAAACAATATTGGCTACAACTGTGGTATCAAAAACTTTTCTAAAAGTTCTTTGTTATTATGCGATCGTTAACATGGCATACTGATTTTTTTCGTTTCACAACAAACTAATTGGTGCTCTAGAGTACTCAAAAAATGAGAATTTGGGTTTTAGACTGTCTTTACATCTCCGAAGGTTTGCAAACCGAAAAGAGTCACATGGAAGTTCGTCATACAGGCAATAAGCTGCTGTATGTTGATTATTATTGAATTTTTCCTCTTCTCCGGGCTTCTAGCACCTGTTCATCAACATCAGTTATGAGGGTCAATATACTATCGAACAATATATATTCGAACAAGTCATCTTGGAATAGTAGCAAAAATACTGGTTACATTTCGAAAGTACTGGTTACATACCGAAAGTGCCGTTTCCCTCTTGACTTTTCTCCTCTAAAACGTGTTCGTTTTTTTCTTGATTATTTTGGATACATTTATCAATGTTACGATATCCTGCTATTGATAGTTGGTATCAGTGATGGCGACAGCGATGTATATGAAGATTGTTGTTGTTGACATTTGTGTCGATCGTTTCTCCCTTTTTTCTTTTTACACATCATAGAACACTTTGTTCCTCGAATACGTTTATAATACGATGACAACTGAAATGAGTTGATATCTGCACGTAATGCCAATGCAAGTTTAGCTCCGCAATTACATTTAATATGACATAAGACACTTGAATTGTTTGTAACTTGTTTTACAATTACTTTATAACCTAAATCATGGATTAATTCAATTTCATCTGAATTTTTCTTATACCATGATTCTATCATAATTTGTATATTATCTTTGGTTCGTTCACAAGTTAACGTTGATGCAGTCGAAATAGGATGACTGAGCGGGAATAACTGAGGATCGAACAGCTGTTGATGGTGAATGTACCGTATTAGAGGAGAAAGGATTGTCGGAAGAGGATAGTGAAATTGTAGATACTGGTGTCATGGTTGTTTTTTGATCGGTTGAGTTTGGCAAATTCCATGACGTCAAAGTAGATGCTGTATTTTTCTGTTGAATTTTTGATTTTTTTACATATTTTATTTCCATTTCTTTTAACATTTCAATTAAATATTTTATACTACCTTTAACACCATTTTTAATAGCATGGCCACTGGGTTTCAGAACAAATACAGTACGTCTTTTAATATTAACTAATTCATCACAATCATATTCTAATACTGATAATGGATCATCACAATGTAGTAATGTAGCAGTTGAACAAATTTCTTGTACTTTCAAAATATCAACAATGATATCATTTGTCTTCTTACGTACATAATCAAAAAAATTGTCTCCAGAAAGTGTCAAAGCGTCTAAATCAGACATTCTGACAATTTTGATAAGTGCGAAAAGAGATAGAACATGAAAACAATGTGACTATTTTAGACAGAAAAGACAAAGTATATCGTTTCTTTTTGAAAGAATGCACATGAATATAGAAGTATTTTTAAAGAACAAATATCTACGAATAACAAGCAAAAACATGCGCCCTCGGCTTAAAGTTGACGAACTAATACACAATAGCAGATTAAACTGAACTCACAGAGTTTAATTTATTAATAATTAATTTAGATAATAATTAATTAGATAAAATAAAGGCTAGAGGCTTATAAAGCCCGACTTTTAATATTCTGTCTAGATTTCTGGTTAGAAACATATCTTTGTGCAAGTTAATGAGACTTTTCCGAATTTTAGACTTTTGACGCTAACCATTACTTTGAAAAGTAAAATATCAAGGATTCGGCTCTATTAGCCTCTAGTCACATGTGTTTTTACCAGTTTAAGACCAACCCGAGTTCTTCACAAGAAATTCATCAGCAGACTGACACGCGAACAGTAACGAAATGACGTATTCCGTTTTCTTTTTAAATTGAAATTTTCTCTATTTATCAATATATATACAACCAAGGATGCTTTTTCTTACTTTCGGGTGGTAATACAGTTGTTTCCAAAGATGGAATTAACTTGACCAATAATATTCTTGGAGTTGCTAACAAAGCTGCGCAAATAAAGATTATGACTATAATACGAAATATACAGAATTCTGTCCCTTGAGCTGGCGCGGGCGAGCGTGGCTGTGCTGGAAAAAGGTTATACTGGTTTCCGTAACCAATATTGTTCCAAAGAGAATTTCTCCCATAGTTAGCCAAACTGCAACTTGTTTGCTCTAAAAGCTTTATTACCTTAGGGATGTGCAGAATTACCTTTAATATAACGGATTTTACATTTAACAAATCCTTGGAAAGAAATGGAAAAGAAAGATGATTAAATGTGTCTCCGACGATTTTCAGAAAATGTTTTGTTGAAAGAGATATCTTTGCACTCACATTGAACGACATATTGTTCAGTAACTCTACGTACGCAGTAACTCTCGTCTACGTCTATCACACGATCTCTGGTAATGTGCATTTTTCGCTACAGAAAAACAGAAAAAAAGGAAAGTTTTCTCTTCTCTGGTTAAACAGTAACGACAACTCATAGATTCAACTTCATTAGTGTATTTTTATCTTGGATCTTTTCTATTAAACATAATATATAATGCAGCTGACTTAAGTTCCATTTTTTCCTTTTAGTTTTGGATATTTCGACGTTTATCGATCATTTTCAAGAAAAATCCAGTATAAATTGAGTGAAAAAGCTAAATCTTACAACAAGCGAATCTGATTACTGGAGTTAACACTGGTTTCACTATCGAAATCTATCGTACACCTACCTATAATGCCAGATATTTGGCCTTGTGTCTGTTTTATTAGCAGTGCTGGGAAAAGGTCATACTGATTGCTATAACCAATATTATTCGAAAGAGAATTACTCCCATAGTTAGCCATAATGAAACTTGTTTGCTCTAAAAGAAAAATGATTATTTAATGTTATGTGCTATGATCACATTTTCATCAACATTGTATAAAAACATACAAGTGCGCATATACATAGAAGCTGTATTACCTAAGGGCAGTAAGAGCACTTATTTTTTAAGAATTTTTCTTCGATGAAAACATGAAAATTGCCACCATTCTTTTCTTATGAAGTTAGGTATTGAGAAATGTCTGTATTACAAACGATCTGGGTTTACATAAACGATTGATAACTGCAGAAGCTGTGACAATAGAACCTGATAGGGTACGTTCTAGGAGAGTATTACTTTCAGCAGTATATGCTGTATTCAGAATAAAAGTTTGATATGTTTAATTATCAGCGGTTCATTAGGTTATGGCCGATAGGTCTTCAGAGTCCGAATTTCTAGAAAACCAGTTCTTCAGAAAATCTAAAGGATAACCAAAACCTTTGTTCGCAGATTTCTGATTATAATGAGACCTCTCCGAGCTCTACACGGTCTTTCTTTGCAAAGTTGTAGAATTTACGAGAAAAGCCCTAAAGGGCTTTTCGTCGCGAATATCACAATTTAAAGCTTTAATCTCCTTGTCACTTAGCTGCTCTGGCCATATGGGAGAATTTATATAAAGTTAAGGCGTTTTTTTTTGACTTTTTCCAACTTTAACTACATGGGACTTTACTCCGGGAGTAAAGCTCTCGAAATACGAGCTTATTTTTTGTGTATTTTCACGTTTTCAAAAGAATAGTGATGCTAAAAGATATTCCAGTATAGAGACACGCCGCTTTATTTCCATTGGCACTGGCTTCAAGCCTACTGGCTTAAAACAGAAAAGAATCAGAAGTCCCATGTGGTTATTCTGAATGCTTTTTCCCATTTTCGGCTGATCTTACCATTAAATCATTCTCAAATTGGGATGAGAATTCATATTGCGTCGGCGTTCAACCATTATTAGTTTACCAGCACTGAACCATATATCCGTTCAGTTTTGTTGAAAAAAAGCAGAAGAAATTTTATGCTCCGGTCAAATAGCAGAGAATGGAGTCCATGGATATCCGAGTCGAGAATAGTGCCTGTTATGTCGTCAGTAGCTTGTTCTACCGATGCATGAAGCAATGAGGACAAGGTTGCCTCTCGTGATTGTATCTATTTGAATTGGGAAAATGAAATATACATAAGCAATTTGACACACATACGTAGAGATGAACATTATTTGTTTGATTCAAGAACAAGGTTGCAGATTCCATTGATTTGATCAGTAACCTGCTCATTTTTGAGTTTCTACTGGCTTTTTTTACTGAATTTAGTTGTTGCTATTCGAAAAGAATATTTTCTGATTACAAATGTGCCTACAGAGAAATTAGAATAGCTACCTACATCAATCAACTATCTCGTTTTCTGTTTTTCATTTTTTCCAGTGTTGATACAACTATCGAGATATTCACAAAAACAATATGCTTAAAGTGGGAGACCGATGAATACCACAGTAGTTGTAAGAAAACATGAAAACAGAAAGTGAAATTCTCCATTCGAAGCTTGTTTAATTCTAAAACCCTCATCTAATGGACTTCAATTTTAAACAGAATTTTCAAGCTAATGGCAAACGAACGGGAGACGCAACATAGAAAAACAGTGAGAAAAACTGCAAAGATGGGGACGACCTCTGCTTGATTAAGAAGAATCAAAGAAATTACTGATTTTCGAAAGGAAACTACTAATTTCAAAAATTTCAAGTTGGTCGTCCTGTGCAAGAATAAATTTCATATGAACAATAAGCGAGTTCCTTCATACTGTTAAGTAGAAAAACCTCCTCACGTTTTTCATCACGTTTTCACATTCTTATATGGTGTGATATTCTTATCTTTGTATGGTAGGACTTTAACTTCTTATATATACGACTGTATTTTAGTGTTAATGTACATTGAGTAGTTATCTTTATCTCTTGAATACACACATGATGATTATCTTCCTCACAATACACAGTAATTCTAAATTTTTATTGAATAATGATTATTAGCTATTTTTTGCATTTTTCTGTACGAAGAGCGAGCTTTAAAAAGCTGCAAAGATGACATTTGAGATCAATTTGATGCGGCGAATCAGAATATATACATCAGTCACCATTTACCTGTCAACAATCAAATTCCGCTCTTGAACACCCTTTTAATTGACTAGGTAGAGCCTAAATATGTAACAAATTCAATGTGTTGCAAACAGATAGTTAAGATAACATACAAATGGTGTGCATATTTACCGATGTGGAGTTGTATTCTATATCAATTTGATGAGCGGTAAACGAAAATTTCCGTGCTAAGGCTTGTTTGATTTTCTAACTGAAACACTTCTTTCAGTTATGCTGTTGATAGCGTTTATAGCTCCACCACACATAGTTTAGGAGCAGGTCGTTTGTCTAACGCTACTATGGAATCGTATTTTGAAATAATCAAAGAATCGGTACTTTTCGAAAAACCAGACTGCGTCCTGCAGAGTTCGTTGCAAAAATTTTTCGAAGCACTCAAGCTAGACTGAAAGCGGGTAAATATGGTGTTACTCAGTCAGCAAAAGGAAGAAAAAACAGTAAGAAGAAAACTGATGCACCGATCACCGAAACATGGAACAGAAGTCAACGGAAAAAAGCAAGAGAGGTGTACTTTGGAAGAGTTACGAAAAAACAATCATTAACCAAAATACAACGTACTAGTCGATGCAAGTACGCCACGACTTTTTACGTACAGAAGTTATTGATGACTAAAATTCTCTTTACACTTTAGGTTACTAGTACCGTCACAACTGAAAAAAAGGTTAGTAAAAGAAGACTATTATGACCTTAAAAATGATCAGCTAAAATGAGTATGTGATATAAATTTTACTCTGCTTAGTATAAAAGCGAAAAAATTTGTATGGTTATTTTCTACTACTGCATAAAAACCGATCAAAAGCATTGAAAATTTCATTTAGTGTCCCAATGAACTCATCGACCGATGCAGCATTGACGGAGTTAAATGCATGTCGAAAAATGGATGTCTCTCCAAGACACAATCATGAAGAAAGTGCTGACATATCTACTGAATTATCACAAAGTGACGATGGGACCTCGCGTCAAGAAAGTAATACAAGCTCAGCAAGTAGTAGGCAGAGTACGCGCCGCCGACAACCAAATAGTCGATACAGTGATTTTGCTTTACAGTCAACAATTAATACATGTACAAAATCAAAAGAACCAGTTCCCATCTTTAAAAAACGTATTCCGAGGAATAGCACTCATGCGAAGTCACAAGTAGATACGTATCCACACACAAATAATTTATTAGGATTAGTGTACGGTGGCCAAGATGAGGTATCACAAAATGTCTATATGAAAATACTTATGCCATCCGCAATACATGTCCGTAAGATTGTGGACTATTTTTAATTTATATTACTTATCTTACTCGCGTACGGACGAATGCAGCAATAAAAAGCAGTATGACTTCGCCCGTTTGTCGAGTTCTTGAGAAAACGTTCATCTTAGTCGAAAGTAACGGGTGGGATGTTGCTAGGCTGTACTGGATGCTGTATTATAAAATAGTAAATGACACAACAAAAACCGAAAACACTGATGAATATAATATTTTTGGAAGTACTGATGCAAGTGTATTTGGCCACGTAAAAGAAATTCAAGAACATAAAAGTGATAACTATTGTGCCAATATTAATTGTCCTAAGCAGCATATTCGACGATTTAGTCATGACATAATCATGCGGTAAGGTCGAATCTAAGTATTGCTGCGTGTATGCGTCAAGCATTTATGTATGCTTCTTTAGAAAGAAAAACGGTAATTATCCCGACGAACTGGAACAGTTTACGTATCAGCAAGCGAGTAGATGTGGAGCAATTGTTAATGAGAACTACCTTGGAGATACGTTTGAGTCAGATTTGCTGACAGATGATAAAATTCGAAAGTAAGAAAATATCAATCTAGAAGCACATAACATATATAACGTTTTCCCTGTTAGAAAAGTCAATTGTTGTGCTGCAGAACGCATTTACCTTCCTAAGGAATTCGTAAATCAACCGCCGTTCTGTATTATTGACCTTCAAAGACGTAATTTTGCCACTGACGGTTAAATTTTTTATGAAAAAGCTGTATTAAAAAAATGACGAGAAAAAATTAAATTTTTGGTGGAAATAATATGCAACCTTTTGTGCTCTTTTCGATCATCGTTGTTAGAAAAATTTAGGTGTAGTGGTAAAATTGGTATTTATGTACTCAGGGGTCCTTGAAAGTGGGTGAAATCGCCTTTTGCGAACTATGGGCGATCATCCTCGGAACCGGTTGAACAGCTAAAAGGTATGGATTTATGAGTGATTTTTCATGCTCTGGACGACGACATTTTCGCGCTTGTTCTTGTAGCATTCAGAGAAGCTTCAGTGGCGTTTTTACTTTGGCTACTGATTTTGTAGGATTTTATTTTGTTTTGGGTTCGCTGTGACCGTTGTAAAAAGTACAGTTTTGGTCTCAAACAATGGACCCCTGAAACAAAAATTATTTTACACGTTGAAGACAAAAACTGGACTTCAGGGAAAAAAAAACATAACTTTCGATGCTCTATCTAGCCACGATGAACAAGGCGCTTCAAGTTCCCTCGGCGTCTCGGAATATTCGCTTAGTAAAACCTGAAAACCCCTAAAATTCACAACTTATTACCTAGGAAAAACCGTGTACGGAAATAACTTTTCCAGGGAACGACTTTGGGCTTTTACATACTTTTAGTAGCTTTGCGTAGCGCATATAGTCAAACCTTCTAGGCTTTCAGTCGTGTACACAGCGGGCCGATCTATCCGGAATTACTCTTTAATTTAACGGATTTTACATTTAACAAATGTTTGAGAAAAATACCAGATTTTCAAAGTTTTCATGTTTTTCGTCGTTCGTATAATCTGCGTAGTTTTCTTGATTGAAGTTCTGAAATTAAAGTTTAGATATGGTTTTGTAGAATATTTTACAGCCCAGCTTTTAGAGAAAAACATTAACTTTTGGGTTCTAACGAAATACGATAAAAATAGCAAATTCTGAGAGGCCGCACCCGATACAATTACGAGGAATGTGCAAGGGGGAAAGCACAGAATCCTGAATTCTCCTGGATTCCAAGGATTCCCCAGGATTCCATAGGATTCTCTTGGAATCCATAAGATTTCCTTGGATTCCCTGGAACCTTTCCTCAATGTTCTGTTTTTTGGGGAAAAGTTTCCCAAAATATAGGGCACTTTTGTTCTGTTTCGGGAGAAGTGTAGAATCCCGGACTCCATTGGAGTTCATCAGATCCGCCGGATTCTACTGGATTTCATAGAATTTCAGGATTTCAGGATTCCGTACTTTCCCCCTTGGGAATGTGACAGGTGAGGCACATTAACAATATTTAAAATTTTTGCTAGCAACTAATTTCTATTCCAGACTGGAAAGCAAAGGCTAATAGAAAATTTCAAGCGCTGCCAGAATATATATTTCTTTTTCTGAAATGTATTTGTATATTCATAATAAATTCAAAAACACAACTGAAACTATTTTTTTCCAGGCGGATATATAACTTTTGCAAAGAAATATCAGCATTAGCTGAATTTCTCAAATATGTTCATCTGGTATTTTATTACGTTGTTTTCATTTTTGGGTGATGTTCTTCTATTTCTATTATGTCAAGATATTTCAGTTGTCCAGGAGTTACTGGTATTATTAAATAATGTTGACAATAACTTGAAATATGTGTTCGAAATCAGCCAAAAAAATATTCATTTTCTTGATGTAAACATCTATATTAATCATACATTTTAATGTATGCATGTAATGCATTTTAATTTAAAAATCGTCTCGAAACATGTCTTTATTTTAAACTATCGAACACATTGGATTATTATCTCCGTTCCTCTTCGTCGCATCCGCAACATATCATCAACAACATACCAAATAGTTTGTGAAATCGTATAATTCGCCACTAATTGGAAGTACAGCACTATTATATTTTGGGCTTTTTTACACACCATTCGATAGAGCTCGAGGAATATCTAGGTTTTTAGTTTAAAACGATTGATTTTTGAACGAGAAATCTTTCAAATATTGGAAGGATCCAGAATTTCATAAAAACGGTTGGGATGTGAAAAATATCGAATATTTTTTTCCTATTCCATTTTCAAGCGCTATAAACTTTTTTCCGAGTTCGGCGCACGGAACTGACGCTATAAATATTATTTGAAGCTCGACCATATATAACGTGTCCAAAATGAAATCTCATGTTCAGAGGCAGTGTAAAACGTGCGAACAAATTTTGGAAATCTATCTAGTTTTTTCTGTTAAGAGATGTAAGCTTGATTTATATTACATTCAACTCGTCTTTAAGCAAAAAAAGTACGCATCGCTTTTTTCGAAATTCCTTTCTGTTGCTGAGAAAATTCATATTTTCTAAATCAGCGGCAAAAAAGTCAAAATTCGCCTCGTAATTCTCAGTTTTCTACATAAGAACTTAACTTTTGAGCAATAAAAATATCATATTTGGAATCAGGATCAAAAACTGAGCTGACTAATGTGTATTTCTATCCTATCCGATTACTTTAATTTTTTTCGGATTCCCATGTCGAAGGTTATTTTCATCAAAAAATGAAAATCAAATAACAGATACGCGATAGTCGATTCCATTTTTGATCCTGATTTCGAGTATAATACTTTTATCGCCCAAAAGTTGAGTTGATGGAGAAAATTGAGAATTATTAGCAGAATTCTGACTTATCCGCCTTTGATGTAGAAAAAATGACTTTTCTCAGCAACGGAAAGGAATTTCCAAAAAAGCGATGCGTACTTTTATTCTACTGTAAATGGCGATTCTAATGGTGTGTGACTCAAGGTACCAGATCTTGCCAGAAAAGACCAGATAGGTTTGCAAAAAATGTTTACGTCATTTTGGTTCCTTCGACTCTGAGTTTTTTTTTCAGGCACGTCATATTTGATAAACCTCGAAATAGCATTCTAGAAGCAGCATGTGACGCTGAATTAGCAAAAATACATTATGAGCTTTCAAACTGATATCAGAAAAAAATATTTGAACTTTTCGTAAATGAACGATTTTTTGGAATTTTTGGTTCCCAAAGTTTTTGAATTTTTTTATTGAAAACTCGATGTGGGAAGCCACTAACGTATTCTTGATCAACTCGACGAGATCTAGCAAATGGTATATAAAAAAGTCCTAAATAAAATAGTGCTGTAACTTCCAATTAACGGTGCATTAATGAACTTTTCAATCTATACATTCATTTAACAAATTATGGACACCCTTCGGCAACCATTCTAAGGCATATTCTGAGCTCAAAGTATCACAATTGTCATAATCTAATCTATCGTCATAAACGTTTACAGCAACAACAAGAAGACGAAAATGTTCATAATATTATTACCATTCCATCAACAAATACCATTATTAAACCATTTACTTGAACAATAATTTTCAACATCACTTTTACCTCGTCATGATCTTTTATATACAAGTACAACTAATCTGAGTCGATTATTAAACTCGATCACGACATTTACATACATTTCAAGATATTATTCTTGTATCACGTGTAAAATTTCGTACGATGTCGACGCTGTCAACATGATCGTTGTGACACATGGCGATATCTAATTGAACAATCATAGTTTATACCAACAACAACAGGCCAAATATACTCTGTACCATTTACTGTCGACCATGCAATATCTAACCCCTGTTATTTGATCACATGTCTATTATGTAACGCTCAATACGTGGGATTAACCAGAAGAAATCAAAGAAAAAGGTTTAATCGGCACACATAATCTATTAGGAATTAAATCTACACCGCCACCAATTGTGGGAAGCACTTTAATATGCAACATCATATATCAGAAGATCATTTATATTATTATAATCATCGAAACCAGCTACATCAATGAAAAACATCGATTATACAGAAAATTTCTGGACTAACATATTACAGCCATTCATTAACGGTTATAACTAATCAAATGACAAAAACTTTTACGTGCTCTTCTCTTATTATAGTTCGTTCACTCTTCTCTCAATACATGCACTTGGGGTTGGGTAGGCGGGCATGTAAAGGAGAGAACATGAACGAAAGAGACAAGTTCAAATATCTTTTCTACTCTTCATCTTCCTTTGTTATCACATAACATTACGTAATATGAAAGCATATTTTTCAAGACAGATGATTCATCTTTCTTTTATTTTTTTGAACAAGAATGGAACTGATATTCTTGTTTCTTAACTAGATAGATAAGAATTTACAGTTCCGGAAAAAAACGAAGACAGTATCTATTTATATAGGCTACGTTTTCTGTTTTTCCTGATGATGATAAGTGTCTCTTATCGAAAGCTTAAATAAACCTTACACTGATTTTTATTAAA